AGAAGGATCGAAATTTTTAAAACAAGAAGGCTTTATGAAGCTTCCAATAACATTCGCAGTTCTCTTATCACTACTGTCCGAATTAAAACATAAGACAATTGTGATTCTATCATTATTTTTTCGCAGGCTTTCACAGGTACATGAGCAATTGTTTTGTTGGGTTGCAATCAGTAAAATAAAGCAGTTTCATCCATGTTATATGCATCTTTCATATCATACCACACTATTATTGTTGACAGACAAATTCTTCCTTCTTCTACAACATCCAAATCAACTTCAGCAGTTTTACCATGTTTTCTTTTTTTTTCTTTGCTGTGATAAGCCATGACACTGTTTAAACCGATGTAACCACCTATTGCTGTAACTAAAATTGTTCACTTTTATCTGCTGCCCAAACATTTCTGCTTGATTTATTATCATATCAATTGTAACAGTGCCATTCTTTGCATTTACTTGCACAATCCATATCAGTAATGCTTTTTTCAAGTTTGTCATATTTTTCAGTTATTATTTCTATAGTGGCTCTATTTTCTGCATTCACCCATTTGCTTTTTTGGTTTAAAATATCCTCTATTTACATTTTTCTTCTAGACAAGAGAAAAGTGACTGAAAATGTTTCACTATATTCTTAGATTTCTTGCTTTTCGCTGACTGTAAGGATAGATTTCTTCTCTATTACATAAAAGACTAAAACAATAACAATGTACCAGGGGTGCACAACCTGCGGCCTGCGGGCCACATACGGCCCCCTATCAATGTTTATGCGGCCCGCGGACGGTACAGGCCAAATCCCTTCTTTCTAAGTTTCTAAGTGTAGAACTTTTTCCCTTTCACAAAGTCATTAGCACCCAACTGTTTTATGACTTTCCCTGAGGTGAGAAATGGGGGATTGTTCTATAAATAAGTCTATTTTTAGCTAACACTTTCTGCTTTAGATATCGAATATTTTAAAATTTGATGTTAGAACGTCATTTCCGATGTTATCGGGAAGTTTCTATTTTGGCGGAAAATCTTCAATTTTATGCTTCAGAAAACTTGCCTATTCGTCTAAATAGTGTCAAATAACAAAAATAAGTGAAAATAGAGCTGAAAAACCATGAAAATAACGATTTTTTAGCATTTGTTTACATTCTAGATTCTGATTGGTATAGTCGAATTTGAATCAATCTTTTCTGAAAAGACGCTTATTCATCAACCTAATGTCATTCAAACTAGATAAAAACTAACCAGAGTTCAGAAAGGAATGTAGAAAAAGCTACAAAACCAATAATTTACAACAATATCTCTCCATAGACAAAGAATAGAAAAAATTTTTCACATCAAATTTATTATTATTAAGTTGGACCAAGAAAATTAATACTGTAGTTGGAATAGAGTCATTACGACNACCACATGACGATACAACAAAGAATCTCGCAAATTGCATCAGACATCGCATTAATCACTTGGAGGTCCGGCCCCCAGTCAGTAAACTTAATCCTAATTTGGCCCTTCTTCAGAAAAGGTTGTGCATCCCTGAATGTACAGTACAATATGTACTCTACAGCATGAATTCAGAGCACAAAATAATCTAAACAGTTTCAGACTAGGCTGACAGAATATGTTTCCAGCTCTCACTAACCATTATTTGGGCTATGTGCAGATCTTAACTGTTGTAACAGTCACTACTAACCTTCAATTGGGTAAGAAGACACTGTTACTCATGATGAAATTTCTTCTTTCTCACATTTTAAAATTGCTGGAAACTCATGTTTCTACAATATTTTACCTTAATTTTTGTGACAATAAAAATTGTGGCAATTTAACCAAAACATTTTTAATGGAAAATGACAACTTTATTTTAAACCATGGTTGGAGGATGGCAGTTTATACTACTGATTTACTATGGAATGAATCATTTATTCAAGACTTTTGGTGGAAAATTTGGGGTGGTGGTACATGGAGGGGCAGTTTAAAGGATGGCTGTATGTTTGGGACATGCTAATTTTGATAACATTAAACAGCTGATAACATATCTCTGATTATAATAAATTGAGCCTACTGTTATTATATGGGAATGCCTTGAGATATGAGTTTAATTTGTTCCAAGACTGGGTTTGTAACTTAAAAGACTAGTATCTCTCAAATCAATTTTTCCCATTGAAATTAATGGGAATATTTCCAATCCATTTCAGGCCCCTAAAACTCACCCCTGTTTTTGTATTTGTGTGTATCTTACAAGCAAAAATGTATGAATAAACAAGAAATGTCATTTACAAACAAAATAAAAGAGAATAAATGAATTGTAAAGAAATAAACTGTAGTAATGTAACAACCCTAAATTATATATAATTATTTTACACTTAAAAGTATAAACAAAATATAAAATTGCAACGTTTATATTTATATTTACTCAAATTGTATTTTATGTGAAAGTGGCGATAGCACCAGAGGATTTTTTTACCATATTTGCATTTTATTGCGGAGGTAGTAGCCTCAAAAGAAAGCTAGTCTTCATATTTGTGAAATTGTGGACTGTCAACTGGAGCGAACGACAGATGATAAACGGAAGCAAAGTATTTTCTTTGTTAAACGTTGCAATTTTATGTTTTATGTATACCTTTAAGTGTAAAATAATTAAATGTAATACCATCGGCCATGATTTATATTTTATATTTACCTAAATTATATAATTTGTTAGTGTTCTGTAAGAAAAAGATTCCACAAGAAAATAACAAAAAATGTAAATGAGTAAGAGGTGTGGTATAGTGTGGCATCATCTCAAGAAGGAAAACAGGCCTCAGAGAGGTGTAGCTGCAGCTAATAAGGAATGATTGTGTCCGTGGGTTACAAATGTACTTGGCAACTGATCTTCCTGGCGACAAGTAGAAACGAATTGGAGCATAGGACCTTGTTAAATCTAGCAATTAGTCAATTTGACTACTCGAGGGGTGGAGATAGTTGGAACATTGCTATTCATGCCTTAGAGGCTGCTTTTGTATAGTTTGTTTATTTTCAGTACTATCAAGAGTAAGTAGTTGAGGAGTGAATAAACTTAATTTTTCTTTATCTCAATGATCGGTCTCATCAATTCTGAGTTCTCGCCATTTAACAATTCACCTGTTCTTCTGCAACAAACATAATCATTATGCATTGGTTCCCATACCAAGTTTAGGGACAAATTATCAACTGACACTCTATTTTAATTGTGTAGTAGTATCTGTACTGTTTGGACATTTCCAGAAGTAGAAAGAAAGGACATTACACTAAACTATGAAATTCAGACAAGTCATGGGCTGACTGGCAGAAGTTTAACTGAAACTCGTTCATATCTCAAGGCAAAAAATTGCTGAATTCTGGCTCATATCTTAAAAAACTCGTTTGTCAGTACACTCATATTTCAGGGCATTATTGTATTTTGTAATCTTCAGTGTGTTACAATAAAAGAACTTAAACTTTTAACCTGAGGCAGATCTTAAAAGAAGGTCAAAAATGTCAAGTGAAAAATACATTGTTCTGCTGCACTTGTTATAGGTTTGAAGGTATGTTATATTTAAAATCTTGATTGTTATCAGTTGCTTGTATGACATGCCCTTTAGTGATCTGAATGTGTAAGTTTTATATACATCTGATAGACAGTACCACTAGATTGTCCTGTTTGATAGTATTTTTTCTTTTGATCATAATTTCAATTAATTGGGCTGCAATTTAAAAAACTGTAGACCTATAGATCCCCACTGGATCATTCCAAGGAAATTGTCATCCATTGACTGTTTCCTTAATCTTAGAAAAAGCCAAGCTTCAGAATTCTAACTTAGATGTTCTATGTTACTGAACACGGGTTCAGTAACACAGAACATCTAAGTTAGAATTCTGAATGGCTTAGTGGGCAGAGCTAAGAATGTTCTGGGCATCATCAAATGATTATTCTTAGTTTGTCCACTATTTTGCCTGGTTGTCTAAGTTAAAATTATGATTGCAACAATTGCAAACGAACTGGTCAAAAAGGATGAAGTAACCAATACAATTATTCAAATGGAAGCTGCATCAGATCATGATGAAATTAATGAAGCAATTAATTGTAATCAACGAAATGGACTGCTATCTTCCGTTAAAATGTATTCAGAATCTGTTATACCGACGTTTGATAATTTTATATTTTGAAGTCATTTTAGAATGAGTTAAAGATTTAGAATGAGAGAATAACTTTGTGATTGTTATGATAAAATTTGTTTAGTCTAACATGAGCAGCCATCTTGAAAATCGTACAAGACAAAAACAATGATGTCACTAGTAGAAGTTAGAAGTTAGCATAGATAAAAGAAGCTGACTGAACTAGCTAGAATTCTAGCAGTGGGAGGAGTCAAGCAGTAGTTAGAAACAAATTCAACATTGCAGCATAACTAGACTTGGCAAGAATTCTGCATTACTGAACACAGCCCAAATATGGAAGTCTTACGGGGAGGAGGCTCCAATTAACTATATATGAACTGCAGGTGCAAACTAGAAGTAACATTATTTCAATTGAAAAATTTTCCCTTGAGAGAAGTTAGGCTGATTTTACACTGTGATGTTACATGATTACACAGTGTATAAAACATATAAGCACATGGTGAAAGTGCTGTGTGTTTATATGTTTTATACACTGTTTAATATGAAATAACAAAAAGCCAATAGAAGAGAGGTGAGCGTCTGAAACACATATTGGCACCTAAACAGCAAAATAAAGTTGGATGTAACATAAATCCTGATGTCTGTTGAATGTGCATCATTGTGTAATAAGGATAGGTTCACAATGTTCATATGTGCACACAGTGTATGCCACAAAAGATCTATGATTTTCAATTACAGATTAAAAGTGTATTCATGTAGAGGACACACATAAATAAATGTAATATTTATGTTTCCATGCACAAAGTACTTATTGAATTATGTTTTTTTTTTTTATATTTTAGTAAAAAGTTAATGTGAATATTTTAATGTAATGTTAAAAAGTATAAATTTCATTTTTTTATTTTTAGGCCAATTGTATTGATTCTACAGCAGAACCAGAAGCAGTATTTGCAGGTGAAGTAAAAAAATTACAAGCAGAAAGAATGAAACCTCAGGAACAAATAACACTTGAGCCATATGAAAGAGATCATGCAGTTGTTGTAGGAATATATAGGTAAACTTGTTTAATATTTTATCATAGAAAATTTTTGAACATAAAAAGGAAATTAAAAATAATTATTATTCAGTCAATATGATTAAATTCAACTTTTAATAATTTGCATGCTTAATTAATTGAAATTGTAGTATTGCTATATGTCTATACCAAGCATGGCCAACATACGGCCTGTCAAATGAATTTATGTGGCCTGGGATTAATCTTTGAATATAAGCTACTCAAGTATAAATAGATCGATGTGAAAAATTCTCATTGCCTAAAAGGGGAAAAAAAAAGGTTAACTCACTGTCTGTTTAGAGGTTTTACAGTTAACGGTCCATTACAAATCTCTTAAGTACAGCGTAGAATGTTGATAATGTGGAAAATGTATCTGTAATCTCTATGTACAATTTTGTCTCTGCGGGGTGACACCACAATGAAATCTCACACCTCCTCAAAATCTTCTTAGTGCAGCCTCTGGTTCAGCCCATGAAAAAAGTTTTCTTTCCAATTCAGCCTGGGGGCAAAAGCTGTTGGTCACCCCTGGTCTATACTGTAATATAATTGATAATAATAATATAATGTTGGCTGACACTAACTTATGTTTTTGTTTCAAATTCATAAAGTTGAATTAATTAACTTTACATATGTTGATTAAAAGATTCATCCTATCCACTCAGATGCTGATGTAACAACATTGCTAGTATATATCCCAAGTCCCCTATTGCTATAGCATGTGAATTGTGAATGCACATTGGCACTGCTATATCAACATGTATCTACGTCACAACTACATATGTATTGCTTTGTTATGTTCAAGTCATTATATACAGAGTTCTTTGCCCATCTAGAAAATAGGGAAAGTCAGAGATTTTCATTAAGGTTCAGAAAAAGTCATTGAATTTGTCTTCTAGACCAGTGATGGCAAACCTTTTGAGCTGGGCATGTCAAAATTTTGAAAAATCCTAACTTAACTCTGGTGCCGTGTCACCTAAAAATATTCATAATTTTTTGATATTTGCAACTATAGTAAAAAAAGGTTTATGTTTTTGATATTTATTTTATATATTTAAATGCAATTTAACAAAAAAATCAACTAAATAATATATATAAAATAAACAAAAACAAAAAACAATACACACTTAGGAAAAAATAATAATGATGATAATGATAAATATTCAATAAATGGTACAAAAACTAGAAATTGTAGAAAAAATACAAATTAGTGACTTTTTTGGTACTGAAGTTTGTCTGCTAATTTTTCAATTGCAGGTTTATACTTGGTGCACTTCAAGGCTAAGGAAGCGCCACTAACTTCATCTGTTAACTAGTTTCTTTTGTTCGGTTTAATATTATTTAATGCTGAGAACAAAGTCTCACAAAAATATGTTGATGAAAAAATGGTTAGCAAAGCCATTGCTAGATTTTTTATATCGCTAAAAGTGTCAAGTATTCTGTTTCATGCACTCAAAATTTCTTGTTAGTAGTTGNTTTTGTTCGGTTTAATATTATTTAATGCTGAGAACAAAGTCTCACAAAAATATGTTGATGAAAAAATGGTTAGCAAAGCCATTGCTAGATTTTTTATATCGCTAAAAGTGTCAAGTATTCTGTTTCATGCACTCAAAATTTCTTGTTAGTAGTTGCACTCTTCTTCATTGTTCAAACGTTTCATTCCAGATTTTCAAGTTTCTATCTTAAGTTGAGAAACACGTGAGTCTAAATGCTATTTTGAAAATCTATAAGTTGCATCTCAATTATCAATTTGCATCCATTGAAAATCTTTTAATTCCAAAGAACTGTAAACAACTACATTCGGATACTTAATTATATTAATGGTCTGTTCTAGGCTCCTAAATTGGTTGAATCTTTCGCTGAACTCTTCAATTAATGAGTTTACTATATTCTGGTACATAAGTATGGACTCCATTACACTCGTTTTATTGGCCTTTTCAAAATACTTTTTTATTTGAGGAAAATACTTATAAGTTTTAGTTTCAATATTCACTTAAAAATTTTAAGTTTACTTTCAAAAGATTTGATGTATCCAAACATAACATCAATACTTTTGCCAAAACCTTATAATTTTAAGTTCACTTCATTCATATGAACGGAGAGATCTGTAAAAAACATTAAATTCCTAACCCAGTTATGATCATTGATCTGAGGAAAGTTTGCCAGATCCTTATTCTTAATAAATACTTTAATTTCTTCAAAGCACTCCACAAATCACTCAAGTACTTTACCTCGACTCAGCCAACTCACATTATTGAACATCAGTAGTCCACTATAGGAAGAATCAACTTCCTGTAAAAGTGCAGAAAATTCTCATTTGTAAAGGGGTCTAGCAGCTATAAAATTCACAATTTTTATTATAACTGACATTAAATCATTCAATTCTGAAAATCCCAATTTGGCACACAACACCTCTTGATGGATAATGCAATGAAAAGATATAAGTGGATGTCTAATAGCTTCCATAAACAATTTCACAAATCCTACATTTTTTCCCACCATATTTGCTGCCCCATCTGTCGTAACTGACACAATTTTAGAGATATCAATATTTAAGTCATTAAATGTTTTTATAACAACCTTACATATTTCATTTCCTGATGTACTTATTGGCACTGATTCTAACTTTATCAACTCTTCTCTCATTATGAGACCATCAGAATAACTAGCAATAATAGCCAACTGAGCATTTGATGTGACATCAATATTTAAGGAAAATCAAAAAATATTTACAACTATTTATGTTTTTTTTTAAATTGACGTTGTACGTTTTTGTTAAGATCCATTATTCGGTCTTTGATAGTATTTCTACTTAGTAGTAACTCAGAAATTCTTTTAATTATATCATCTTTATTTTACATATCATGAAATAGAGCTGGTGCACATCTTAAAAATGTTTCTTTAATAAATTCTCCATCACTGAGGGCTTTTCCATGCTGAGCTATGGAGTGAGCAATACAGTAACTTGCTGATGTTAAATTTGTAGAGCATTTTACAAATTTAATGATGGAATTTGATTGACTTCTATAGAGGTGTAGCTGCCCAGAAATGTATTCCTTCCTTTCATTGATACTTCTTTTCAAGAGCTGACTATGATTTGTTTCAAAATGTCTTTTTACATTCCACATTCTGCTTACTACTGTTTCATTACACAGTATGCACAATGATCCATTGTTTCTGTCGATAATTCTGTACAGCTCAGCCTATATGTCTTGAGAAGGCCGGCTACTGCTACTCCCACTTCCTTTATCATTCAATCTTACCTTTTTATTTTTTGATTCTCCATTACAAGACTGTAGAAGTAAATAAATATAAATCACGACATTTTTTTTATAAAAGGTTGATAGATTTCTTACCAATTAACTTTTTGCAGTGTTGTTGCACTGACCCCTGATACAAAATAATTTAAAGATGTTTGTAGAACCAACAAATATGTATTTTACGTCATATGCGAAATGTCTCAACAAATACTGTTGCGCTATATATCTGGCGCTTGACATATGGCGGTAGCGTGATGGAGACGTGGTGCCGACCTTATCTGCTAAAATTAATAGAAGTGGTGGCAATGTGGCAAAAATACATCTGCACCCGACGATTATAAAATATTATCTGATTCTGACTAAGATATTTTAGCTCATATTCATTTAAATAATAATCAAGAAAAAAGTTTTAGGTTTATAGTTGTAAAAGAGAAAATAATATGACAAATATTTGAATTATTCAATTTTTCATCTCTGTCGATGCGTGTCACCCAAAATGAGCTTGCATGTCATAGGTTCGCCATCACGGTCTTAGGCTATGGTCTTCATTTTGTTCAATGACAATATGGCCAAGTGTAGCTGTCTGCAGGCAGCAAGAAGTAATGTGATGCAATGCAACTTATGAGCAGGAGTGCAGGACCCAAAATTGCCACAAAATTATTGCACACAAAATAAAACCGTAATTTATTAATCAATTAATAATTATTACTACATTGTTTGGAAAATTTGAATTACATCATACAAATAATTAAATAGGCCTACCATACAATTTTCCATGTAATGGTAAACTGATAAGTTAACATAAAAATATTTTAGATTAAAAGAATTCTTTAATTTAAGGACATGTCATCATTATAGGATAGCATATATAGTTATAAATTTGATATAATACAATGATTAAAAGAAATAAAATTGAGGTCAATGCCATGAATTATTATTATTATTTTTAGTGAGGCAGTTCTTAACAGACTTTTTGATATCCAAAAATGCAAAATTTATTCAGGACAGTGACTTTGAAACAAATTTTTATGACTTAAAAATTTTAATTAAGGACAAACTTCAATAATGGGCAAAAATACTTTAGAAAGGAAAATTTCAGATTTGGCAAGTAAATTTTTGTATTATTGAAATTATTTTCCCACTGTGCCATTTTGTCTAACTTCTAAAGTACTCCTTTACCCTGTTTAAGTTAAATTATTTTAAAAAGTTAATAGGAAAAAATTACACACATTTACAATTTAAATAATTCATTAGAACATTGTATTTTTTTGAAATTGGAATTTTAAAACAACACAAGCTGGGTATGGGCCTTGGTAATACTGTTTTGATATGTGCATAGCCCGTCAATGGCTGAGTGGATAAAACCAGTGGTAATTGTCCACAAGTTTGCATCTCACCAGTATGCTGGTCACATTTAATTTATACCAAACCAGTTTTTTACATTTTAATAAAATAATTATTTTAACTTAATTGTTAGCAGAAAGAACAAGTTTTATATATATGTTCTTTGTACTTTTCATTGGCATCAACACTATTCGTTTGTGCCAATGATAGATCTGACATCTAGCAGTATTAACGCAAACTACGTAATGGCGGCTGCTATGGGTATAAAGTCTGGTCTGTTAGAATTAGAAAGTGTTCAACCTACAATGGTAAACAATAAGTATTGCTGTGAATTTGGATGTAAGTCTAAAGGTTCATCAAACTCAGTATATATATAAAACTTCCAAACGATCGCCTGAA